GCATTTTGGATTTCCCTCCTCGACGGCGGCGTGTTATCACAGGCCTCTGGAGCTCTGGAGGCACAAGCAGGTCACAACATACCGAAGGAGTTACTGCTTCAATATCCTGTCTGAGGAAAAGACAGAACCATTTCTCACCCCCCAAAAAAACTCACACAGTTTAAAATATTCAGGGATCAGAATTTGAAGAACAAAAAGACCAAACATGTGAATGCTGCACATGAAGGATGAAAAAAATCAATCAGCTGTGAGTCAATTAGAACCAAAGCTTGATCTGTGGCAACGTGTCTGTCCATCAACATAAATCAACGATAACCACCGTAAGTGCCATTTATCCAGAAAAAAGTTTTTCTGCTCGTCGGTCACAACAAAAAGACAAAACAAGTTGGAAAGACGAAACAAAAGCGGCGTCTGTCAGAGCAAATGAAGTGACGCAGAAGAACAAATTGCTGCCTGCAGCCCTCGTTGTTTCCCTTCAATGATCAAGCTTTAAATCATCTGACATAAGCCTTTCAAGCAACTAATTTTATTTGCGAAGCATCAAGCCAAGCATTGTTCCTACGCTGCCGAGCTATATTACATTTATTAGAATATAAAACCAGCCAGAGAACTGGACGATTGAGACGAGCTCTGAGGAGGAAGTCGCGGCAATGAAGAGCTGCGTGGCTTCTCCTCCCATGCGGACTTCTAGGTGCTCTATGTTCGGAGGGGATCCACCGGTTTTATCTGACTTTCGGTAAAGCGTTTCCTCCACCCAGGCTGATAAACACGACTAAACATCTCTGAGTGAAGCTGTAGGGACCAGGCAGGTGGAGGGAAACGAGATGAATCAAAAAAACATGACACTTGGACAGAAATGAGGGGAAATCAGGTCTGTCACGCAACCCTTCTTACCTATCTGAGATGGTTGCCGTGACAACACTTCCTGCTTGGCCAACGTGTGGATCTGAGGTTGATGTCAACCTGATTATTTCTTTACTTCCTGACGCCAGCAGTGAACAAAAACTACCTTCATGTATCCTCACCTTAGTGCTCGAACATCTCTGCAGCTTCTCATTGACGTGCACATGACGGAAAATAAAGAAATATGTTGGAAAGTGTTTCAGAGTGCACATGTTACCGAGTCGGTCAGAAAAGACCCAGTAACGCTTGGTATTTCATAAAAGCAAGTAATTCTGCTGCCAGAATTGTTTTTTTATGGTTTTCACCCCCAAACACACATAGTATAAAATATTCAGTGATGAAGAGCAAAAAAGACAAAACTCAGCATGTGAAGGACGAAAAAATAATCAGCTGAGTCAATTAGAAACAAAGTTTGATCTGTAGCAACGTATCAGGCCAAAAACATCGACATAAATCATCAATAACGACCGTAAGCGCCGTTTATCCAAAAAAAAAACTACCTTCATCTATCCTTAGTGCTCGAACATCTCTGTAGTTTCTCATTGACGTGCAAATGACGGAAAATAAAGAAATATGTTAGAAAGTATTTCAGAGTGCACATGTTACCGAGTCGGCCTGTTATCAGAAAAGACCCAGTAACACTTGGTATTTCATAAAACCAAGGAATTCTGTTGCTGGATTTGTTTTTTTTTTAATGATTTTTACCCCAAAAAATAAGCTAAACGTCTAAAATATTCAGTGATGAGAATTTGCTGAATTTGAAGAGCAAAAAAGACCAAACTCAGCACATGAAAGATGAAAAAATAATCAGCTGTGAGTCAATTAGAACCAAAGTTTGATCTGTGGCGACGCATCATGCAGAAAACATCGTCATAAATCACCAATAAGGACCATAAGTGCCGTTTATCCAGAAAAAAACTACCTTCATAACATTTCACTCCCTGCAGTTTCTAATCAACACAGACGTAAAATACAGAAATATGTCGGAGAATGCTTCAGAGTGCACACGATACCCAGTCAGCCTGTTTAGAGACAATCAGCAAAGACCCAGTAACGCTTGGTATTTCATAAAAGCAAGTAATTCTGCTGCCAAACCGACAGATGGGTGTGACTGTATATCCGCAGTGTCACCACCACCACCACTCCTCTCAGCACATCTGCTGCTGGGCAGGGTGGAACTCGAGCAAACCAGACGCTGTAGGCTCAGCCTTGTGACTAGCAACACACACAAAGCTGAGCATACACACAAACACACGCCACAAACAGCGAGTTGGGAAAGCCTCTCCGGGCTACGGGACGTCTCCGCATACCTCCGGACGGCAACCAAACCATGAGTAGGTTGAGAAAGGAAAAGTTGCGCAGTTGTTGTCGGCGCGTTGAGCAACGTCTGACAGAGTTGGGACAACGCTTCAGATCGTCGTGGTGTCAGAGACGCTCAGCTGGGCTTTGTTCAGGCCCATTGTTGGTTCTGGATTCAGCTCAACTGTCAAATAAGTGTGAACAGCCGTGTCAGGTTTCTGGAAAATCAATGGAGATAAAACATTTATGGGAAACCTAATCAGACAGGAATGTTTGTTTCTACCAAATAAATATCTGACAAATCAGGTTACTTCCTCGTATTGATGCAGAAATGACAAATCACTAATAGTTCCTGACATTGATTCAGAGCAATAGTGCAACAGAACCACAGACTGTTCTCGCAGAACTCCTCGTATTTCTGTTTCATCATAAACTTGTTCAGAGTTTAATAAATGAGGTCACCACGGTTTTCTTTTGGTATCTTAAAAAGTTCTCCACTAATGTACGAGAGCTTTGGCTATAACATGTAAGACATGATGAAGAATCTCTTTCTGCTGTTTTGCTGAGTCCAAGACTTATTTTAACCGATTTAACCGAGAGATCCGACGACAAAAGCAGAAAATATTCAAGAGAAGCAAAGAATGTTTGGAGAGTTATCGCAATGATTAACCATCAGATAGCTGTTGAGTAATTTCCTTTTGTCCAACTAATTTGATTTATTCATCTAACCTTTATTTAACCAGGAAGTCCCATTTAGATTCAAAAGGCAGCAGCCAATCACACATTAGGATTCAACGAACACAAATAAAACAACAACCTAATTATATGACTTTCAGTGAACACACTTCTTTCCGAGTTTGGCTTTTGAAAAAGAAACAAACATTTATTAATATATAAAGAAAATCTTGGACTTTTCCTCTCAATAAAAACCACTAAATCCTCTCATGTGATGAACAGAAGCAGCACATATTTGCAACGTGTGATCGCTTCAGTGATTAGTTCCTGATTAACTTCTTATTAATCAGCTAAGGCGACATTATTTCAGACAGGCTCCAGCAACACACAGATCGGTACAGGACAGCAGCATCCTGGTGTTTCCGCTGCCTGATTATTATTATTCCAGGAGTAAGAAGCAGAGAGGAGGCCGAGTGTGAGCGCCCAGCCTTTACTGAGGCGTAACGTATACTTTACAACATATGCTTTGCTCCACAGGCCTGTTGGCTGTGTGTAACATGTTGAGAAAGTCTGTGAATCACTCAGGAAACAGCCAAGATCACTGAAAAGGCGCACACACACACACACACACACACACACACACACACACACCTAGTCCTACTGCAGCTAACTCCACCGGCAGCCCTATGAGGAAGCAGATGGAGGCCGATGGGAGGCTCAGACGGTGGCTCCAGCTCCTGCACCAAACCGGCTGCTTGTCAGAAACCCGTCTGCAGAGCTGCCAGTCGAGTCGGGCAGCATTCTGTGTGTCAGAGGACGCCGCTTCCAGAGCAGCCTGCTGGCCGGTGAGGCGCTGCAGCCCCGGTTGCAGCTGCATGTGCCACATCCCACATGATCCCAACAGTTCAGGCCTTGTTCAGCAACTTTAAACTCATCTGGAGACAGAGGAAGGAGATTAAACAGACTGCACAGGGAGCTCCCCTTCCTCGTCCTCTTCCCATCTAATCCTTGCATTAAGCAGGACATGGCTCCCCTCTCTACCACCGACCCTCGTCCTCCTCCTCCTCCTTCTGTTACTAATCAATTTACATGCATCACACGTCACGTTGGGTCCTGCCAGCCATCCGGGCTGACCCACTCACACAACCCCAAATGCAGCCGGTGCCACCAAAGCTGCTGGAGGGAGAGTTTCACAAGTCACATGTTCACACTTCAGAATGAAGAACATCTCATCCTCTGACTGACTGACTGCTCTGAATGCACACATATTTCCAAATACAGTCGGACAGTGTTTGTTTGAGGGTTTTTTGATGACCAGCAGCTACAGACCAGGCAGCTGCTCCTGGACGTCACCGACTTCACTTCTGATGAAACACTCTTGTTTTTGCTGCACTTGGTCTTCTTGTCCGTCACAAGCTCTTCACTCCTTCAAAACGAAAACTTGTCGCCCCCAAATTAAACCCCCGGGAAGGCAGGAAGTGTGTGATGCTCAGCTCCCACTCATGTGGATGGGCGTCGAGAGGAGGCTTTGATGGCGCTGAATGGGGTACTAATGAGTTGGCCTTATCAATGGCCGGTCTGTGTTCTGTCCTCCTAATGGCCAGTGGACACCGACAGAACCGTTGGAGCTCCATGTAAACACCCCAGACACTTCCCCCGTGTGGGGCCTCCACTCCACCATCACACCATCTAACTGGTAGCTGTGCTGCAGACCATCACCTCCTGCTTCATGGGAAGGAAGGGGCTGCTTTTTAATATCTGTTAAAACAAAAATAAAGTCTGTTCTTGCTTTTCAGAGTAATTGCAGCCAACCCAGTAGGTGGGGCCTTTGGGGAATAAGCAGGGCAGAAGGCCCAGACACAGGGAGCTGAGGAACCCTCCAGCTCCCACCTGTTGAACACCATATCCATCAATCTCTACCAGAGTGTGTGCGGCCACTGGAGACACAGCTCCGGACCAAACGACACCCTGCTGGGTCCAACACTGGCTCATAAGTGTCGAACCAGCGGACTGAGAGCTGGCAGCAGACACAGCCCAGCAGCCCGAGACCAACTGTTGCTCCAGCCTCACGCGCGTCACGTCGCCGGTGAACGTGGCATTTCATCGACACATGGCGGTCTTACCTGGCCGGTGTACCGTGCAGTCAGGTCTGGCCGTGTCTCCGTCCACTGAAGCCCAACTGTGTCCGTCAACAGGCTGGGAGGAGACCTTTCCCTCCGCTCTGTGGCTCACGGCGCCCTGTCACAACCCAACCAGTGTTGACACCAGAGGCGGTGGAGAAGCGGCCGGACGCGCTCGGTTCGTGCCGCTTTCACTCTCCGCTGGCGGCGGCTGTTAGTATTTAATTGTCGTGTACTTTTTCCTTCTTGACCAGAACACGAACAGTCTCCCCCCTTTTCTCCTTTTCCTTTTCCTCCTCCACTTGGACGCTTCGCGGCGAGAACAGCCGAGTTTTGTCGGGAGGAGAGGCGGAACCGACCGAGCGCAGGCGGAGATTCCCGAGCGGCAAGCTAGCGACTGTTGCGATGGCGCGTCGGGAGATTTTCACAATAAAACACACCAGAGTGTTTACCATGAACTGATTTATACCAGTCAAGTAAAGTACATGTCAGCGTTTTTGGAGGAGCACAGAGGTGGAGTAGCTGCTCAGACCTAACGGATCTGTACCCACAATTTAACTTTATTACTGAATAGAATAGAATAGAATAGAATAGAATAGAATAGAATAGAATAGAATAGAACGCTGTTATTGTCATCATACACAGAGTACAACGAAATTAAAAGACAACTCCAGTGGTACAAAATACAAGTATAAAAAGACAAATAAGAAGAATATATAAATGTATTTACAGAAGGAGCCAGTAGGAGGTTATACCATCAGGAATGAGCACGGTAACAGCCAAATGGTTTAATAAATGTATGGCAGTGCTGGTTAAAGAAGAACACTGTGGATAGATGAGAAATATAAATAATACAGATAAATAAATATATAATAACATAATATACAACAATTAAAAATACACTAATACACTAAGATCAACTTAAACTCTTTGTTTCGAAAAAACAAATTTTAACTATAAAACTTATCTTGAGCTCAATGTTTGTTAGTTTTTTCTTATTTCGGATTTTTAAGACTATTTTTATTTTGCATTTTAGCACTTTGAGCCACTTTTGTTCCATCAAAGGTGCAAATAAAATTATTGTTGGTATCATTAAACACAGTATCAACAATATTTAATACTGTATTTATGTTGCATATTTCGTGCACAGCATGCAGCTCAAAGTGCTTAACTTTAAAACTAAAATACAGAATACAGACGCATTTGGATTTTTATGTTTGTATTTAGTATTTTAAACATTTTAAGTGTCAAAGCTCTTTGAGCAACATGCTGTGCATGATAGGTGCTATACCAAAAAAAAGCATTAATAGTAATATTATTGGTATTATTCTCAATAGTTATAATATATAGTTATTGCAGTTTCCAGACAAATCCTCAGAAGTAGCAATGCTGAGTGGAAGAATACAAGAATAAAACTCCTAACATCCTGTGGTGCACCAGCTGTCTTTGGCTAACTTGACAGACTTGACCTTTGCCAGAAGGTCTGCTGTTCTGCCAGCAGTCTGGTGGAGGCGCACTCTCCCTACTGGAACACAGGCTGTCATTCAGGGTTGCATATCACACCCCATTTAGTGGATTTATTGAAAAACATAAAATAAAACAGAACACTTGTTACAGCAGCAGTGATTCATCTGTTTATGAACTAAACCTAATTTCAGCACCGTATTCAGAAGGAGGTCACTATAGAAACACTATAAACCTTAATGACAGTGGAGTTACACCTTCTCTTTATATTACTAGTGAATGATACTAAAAACAAGCACTGGTATATAAAGGAGCAAAAAGCACGACAATACACAAGCACATTAAGTAAAAGTTTTTTTTATTTAAATTAGCTTAAAAAGCAAAACAAAACAAAAAAAAGGAATCATGTGTAATAGGCTACAGTCAACTTCAAAAATATTGATAAAGCTCAATGCGTATATTTTGTGAAGTTGAGAATAAGCACTTTATAAAAAATAGATATCTACATTGTAACATGATGAACGTACAGGATGCATTTCCCAAAGTGGCTACGTGGTCTGTACATTACCCCCAGTGATACAAAACAAAGACTAAGAGCGACAGCAGTACTCCACATGATCTACGCTTTATGAAATGTGTACGTATGACAGGTTCTAAGGCCTTGAATGAGTAAATAACATGTAATAGAGCAAAACATCAAACCAAATGGTTCCAACGTCTTGCGGTCCGTCTTCTTTAGCTCAGGTTTTTACCGATGACGCAGTGAAACAAACCACTGCAGTAGGGAGCAGGACTTCTCTGACCGCAGAGAAACGGTTTTCTTTACACTCGAATTTCTCAATAAAGCAGCTTTTCAGTACCGGGCTTGGCGTGAAAGGCGTTGTGCAACATGTACAAACACAACTGAGCTCACATAAAGTGTGAAATGTAAGAAGGAATTCCACAATGAAATGAAATGAGACGGACTGATAGGAGTGTTGAGAGTCTAACAAACACAGCAGGGACTTCTGGAGCAGGGAGCATGTGGACAAGCTCAGGTGCTAGAAACAGGGCTGTGGGACCGGTAGTCACATGCAAACTGGACTGTGGTTTAGGGCCAGGGGACATACAGAGAGGAACCTGTTTGATTAGATATGCTGTATACCATGGGAGCAGTAGATGGGAGTCTCAGTAGATCTACTCCTGCGACTCTTTGCCAGTCATCTTGTAGATCTCAGTGGGACCGTCCACATGGGTGATGGTAGTGGTCAGCTGGATGTCCTCTCCGCTGTTTGCTCCGGCATCACCTGCACACATAAAAGACGACACATGAATCATCCATTAGCTGTATGTGCTCTATCCAGCAGAGGGCTGTGGGAGGCTGGAGGCCATCCCAGCTGACACTGAGCTAAAGGCAGGATGGATAAGTCACTAATTAAGACACAATTACTGACTCCAGAACATTCTAGGAGTTTGTTGTTTGCGTTGCCGCCCCCGTCTCTGTTACTACATCACGTTGCTTCAGCTGCATTTCATCAGTCTGAACACTCTCAGCTGGCTCAGAACAGAAGTGAAACTCAAGAGCTGAGCGAGTAAATCAACACAGTGACTGGAACTTGGAGCGAGCCGTCCCTCCCAGGAGACCGCCTCACTGCAGGCAAAGACTTCCAGAACTTCAAACCCTCTTTTTCTCTCCCCCGTGTCACTGACGTCAGGAGATGGATGGATGGTTTTCATTACTTCCTCGTCCCCTCCCCTCTCTCTCGTCGCTGTTCCCTTCCTCTCTGCCTGGAAGGAAGCCTGCTGTCCATTAGGATCACCCTCTCAGTGCAGAGAGACGCTTCTTTCCCCTGAGAATCTGCGTCCTTTCTCAGTCCCCCTCCTCCCTCCAAGAACACACCCTGGACGGACGGGCGGCAGAGGACAGACGCTTGTTCTCCATCAGAACAAAGTGAGAACAACTGGGAATACATAATCAGTTTAACACAACGAGCAGACGATGCGGTTACACTTCAGTAACAGATTAATTGATGATTATTAAAGGTGGAGTTTGTGACTCTGGGGAGTTGGTAAGCATATATTGCTTCCACTTCCCCCTGTAGTGCACAAGCATGCTGAAAACATGATAGGACAGAGACGTGTGAGTCAGTTCGGGCCATGTTTTAGTCTGGTTACCAGGCCAGGACCGGGTTTTCCCACCACACACAGAGAACGGACCGCCTGGGGACCACGAGGAGGCGTTTACTGACCTGAACACAAACCATACTGGATCACATTCTCATACTCCACCTTTAAATCATCACTATAATCACAGTGCTGTTGTTTAAGATGCATTTACAGATTTTTTTTAAGGACGTCAACCTTAAAGTAACATAAGGTCAATCTGGACGAGGTCAAACGGTCCATTCTTTCCTTTTAAAGATTAAATTTCAGCTACTTTTGCTTTGTTCTTAGAGAGACAGTGGCGAGAAAGACAGGAAGTGGGAGAGAGAGCAGGGGAATGACAAGCAGAAAACCTGAGGAGAACCACACAGTCTAATTATATGTTGAGAGTCAGAGTTTTCTTTGTCATGAAGGTGGATCCCATCTGCAAACCTGTTCAGCTGTATTTTAACCAAGTCATACAGGTACAGAAGTGCAAACAGTACGCACTTACAGAGTGCTTTTCTACCTTAGCAGCACTCACAATGTGTTTCTCATTCACCCATTCCTACACCAACGGCCACAGAGCTGCCATGCAAGCTGCTGCCTGCCACTGGGAGCAACTTCAGGTTCAGTGTCTTGCCCAAGGACACCTCGACTGTAGAGGGGATCGAACCGCCAACCTTCTAATCAGAGGACAACCTGCTCTACCACCTAAGGAATTATATGCATTGCAGAAAATACATAAATATGTTTTTATGTTTGGTCCTGATTGGCTACCAAGTCTGTTTCAAACTGCTGGTATTGCGGCTGATAGAAGACAGACTGAAAGTTGTTCAGTCTGTTGGCATCTATCAGAGAACATAGTGATAATCTGACTGGGGTTCTAGCTGACAGAGAAGAGTCTGGCTACGTCAAACGTGCTTCGTAGTGCTCTTCTTAGGGCCCACGTGGTATGCCCGTGGAACCGCTTGTCCATCGAGCTGCTTGTTGTCCCATTTAGTTTGAAACTAGTAAGAAACGTGTAGTTACCGGTGATGCACTGACCACTTGTCTGCTCATCTCCGTAGCGTTTGTGAGACGGCGCGTAGAGGAACATGATGGCGAAGACGTACAGATTCCACATGCCGTAGATGCCGGTGAAGAAGGCGCTGTTCACCTGCACCGTGTGCTCTCCCCAGTGCCAGTGACCCTCGTTCACCTGCAAACACACAGACTGTTATTCCTCTGAGGGGAGAACGGTGGTTTGTATGTTTAGGGGACAGAAGCAACATAGCTGTTAAATTATTGCATAACTAGTCATTATCCAGAGGGGCAACGCTGTCATCACATCAGCATGTGATGAACGACACGTACCTGACTGATGATGAAGAAGATGACCGTCATGGCAGCACAGGTCAGAGTGACCAGCATGAGGAATTTGAACCTGAAAATGAGACCCTAAAGGGAGATAAAGAGGATTACTGAGTAACAACACAGCTCATTAGAAGCTCACCGTGTTTCAGAGTGGGGCCTTTGCACTGTGCAGACGCCATTGTTGTGTCTGAGCGATAACGAACAAACACATTAGTGACAGGTTAATTAAATCTCACGCACCTCGTAGTGCAGGCGTCTGGCCTTGGACATGGCGGGCAGGGACGTCCTCTTCCCGCTGATGTTGCGGAAGACCTGAAACACCATGAAGCAGAGGAAGAGGAAGTAGAGACAGGCACAGATCCCTGCCACGATTATGAACGCCATCTGAGCAAACACCGGTCAAGGAAGTGATGAGATAGTAAGATATGAAAGCTTTACAAAGTCTGTTTATAAGCCATCTATATATATATAAAGCCGAACTTTAATTGTCATGCCGGCTCACAGTCATGTGTTTGTGGTACAAAATTAGTACTCAGGTCCCTTTTTTTTTGTTTCAAGAAAAAGCCTCATAAATAACAAAAACAAGAGCAAAATATAAGTAAAAATACAGAAATACAAGTGTAACAAGAAAAAAATAAAAAATAAACGTTAGAGTAGAAAGCCAGAATTAGTTGTATTTAGCCTAAACATTTGTGTAGCAGCGAGGTAGATGTAATATTGCACTTTGTTGGTTAAGATATTGCACATATATTTGCTTTACTACAATAAAAATAGACTCAAATAATTAAACAGCTGTTTAACGCTTGTGTCTCTCATTTATAAACCCGTAACAGAACTCACTGCAGCAGACAGAACAAGAAATGCCCATCAGTGGTGAACCTTACGATTCATTGCAAAGAAGGAAGTGATTAAAAGGGGACAAAAAAACAAAACAAAACAGTATTGGTTGGCTGTTTGGTGTGCTGATGAATTTTACATCATTCAGATGAGTGAGCGAGGCCAAAGCAGACACACATCAACACGTCATCCCGAGGCGATGCTCTCACATATGGCATCGCTGAATAATTTCTCACCATATTAGTCTGGAGATTCCAGTTTCCTCGTCGTGCCAAAGCCAAGAAAAACACAACAGTCTGGCAGTCGGCACGGTGTTGCTGAAGAAATTAATTTGTTCCAACAACTGGAGCAGAAAAGCCGCCGTAAACATGTTTATTGGCTGCTAGACTGCAAGACGTGGCTATTTACACTCCCACAGAGTGTGTCTGTCCATCGACAGGGTCAGCATCACGTCTGTCTGATGACGTTTCACCAGACAAACCTGATGATGTTGTCAAAAATACAAATAAAACAAAAAGGATACAGCCAGCTCTGTTCCAACGTCAGACGCCCAGATGCTGTAGAAGGGGTTCGTAAGCTGGACGCCTCTGGAGAGCAAAAGAAGAACAAAAGCTGAGCTGGTTTAGAAATTCACATCACATGGCGATTATACACGAAGTTTAAGGCATAAAAATCTAAATAAAATATAGGACAGATTTCACAAGATGTATTCTGTTATTTGTCGCAGTTTATAAAACAATTCTCTTGTTTGTTTTTGTTTCCCAGTTTATTTTATTTGGCCTTTTTGCCTTTATTTGATACTACAGCGAAGAGAGAGACAGGAAAGTGGGGGAGAAGAATCGGGGAAGGACCTGCTGCAAAGGGCCATGAGCGGAACCCAAACTCACGACCGCTGCGTCGGAGACTTCGGCCCCCGTACCTGGGACAGCGGCTCAACCAGGTGAGCCATTGTGGCACCCCAACAAGTCTCTTGTTTTAAAGAAAAAATAAGAAAAACTGCGTCTCACCTCTCGCACATGTCAAAGATGAAGAGGCAGAAGGAGCCGAACACGATGGGTCCCACCTGCTTCCAGTACACCGAGAAACGGTTCCTCTCCGTCTGGTCCTGAGAAAAGAACACAAAACAGACTTAAAGACTGGATTTACACTTGATGGATTACATACAGTATGTCTTCATTCTCTCCAGAGTCTCAGAGGTCACACTGTGTGTCATACTGATGTCCTGTTTGAAGCTGGAAGGTGCCAAAGCTGGAGGGAAAAATAGTAGGAGCTGCTTTAAGTGCGTCAAGATCTCATACTAATGCCAAGCTCATATCAACATATGAAATTGGAAAGAAGAAAACATGAATGCAACTTGTGGCATAACCGTATGATTCACTGACAAACCTCTTTTTTCTCTGCTTCAGGGCTGGAAGAATTTGAATAATCACCACCGATGCACAGTGTCCATGAGAAGTATTCAACCCCGCTGGACATTTCATGCTTTGTTAACAACTTTAAATTAAAGCAGATGATTAAATTGGCAAAATCACAAACTGGAAGTCTTATTATTGCTGTTTGTGTCAGCTGCTGTATGTGGAACGCAAAGCTTCCTAACATATTAAGCTGACATTATTATTATTAGGTCGACTACACAGCTAGCTGCTGCTGGGGAACATTTTTGAAATGAATGAAACATAAATATGCTTTGGATTACAGTTTTTTATGTAAAAGAAATTTAATTCAAAAAACAAAGAATGTGGGAGAGTTGTGGAATATTAACTTCAAGCAGGCCATCGTCAAAGTCATCAGAGGTCAAGGCGGCCACCAAGAAAGAAGAGTTCAAGACGGGAGAGAGACGTCCTGGTAGCAGAAACGGTGACATCTCAATGGGCCTTTGGTTTACATGTAGACAAAGCTACGAGTCACCGAAAACCATCGGATCTAAAAGATTGTGGAGATTTTGGAAAAACTCTGTCTTCACGTTTGCATGTAGAGAGGAGGAGGCGGAGTCTGACGTCACAGTGAGTGACGAAAGCGTCACATGTGTGCGACCATGTCTACAGTCTGGCTGCTGTGATAGAAAGTCAGTGTGTTCTAGTGTTTTCCTTGTTGTGTCTCTAACACCACATGTAGGAGCAGCTCCACGTGTGTCGGTCCAAACAAACCACCCTCGCGCCGTTATCGTTGAAGTAACAGGAAGTAATGCGTTGTGTTTTTTTCCAGGATTCTGACTGGCTGTATGCTTCTCGTTACACTGCCCCCTGTAGGTCTGGCAGCTCATAGCAGCTCTTACCGATACGTTTATGCAGGTTTGTGTAAACGAAGATTTTTTATTATTTTTTTTTTTTCAACGATCTGGTGTGAACGATGTTATATTAGAAATCGCAGATCTGTTTTTGTGAATACCGGCTACGTGTAAACGTGGCCTCAGACAAACCCAGTGGTGAAAACAAGCTTCCTCCACGACGCTAAAACAACGTGGAAGGAAGAACGTTCGTATACAGATAAGATGAAAACACATCAACCCCACGAAGAAGAACTGCGACAGCTGAAGCCGGCTCACCGCAGAGAACCCTAGAAAGCTTTTGGAATTTAACAAGAATTAATTCACCTACATATAAAACCCATCTTGACGTAACCTGCAAAAGGTATGGCTTTTAGGACGATGATATTTATAATCAGTGAAAGTTGACAGAGCTTAAAAAGTTTTGTGCAAAGCTAACACACACACAGAGGCTCTTAGATCATAAATGCACCTGCACTGTTTTTGCAAAAGCATTTGAAAAAGAATGCCATGAGAGAGTCTGCAGCATGAAGCCATGATAGAGCCATCTTTAATGATATTCACTGATTAATGTTCCACCTGACCCTCACAGGCATGTCAGATCAATCTACACTAAAGGGTCTAGACATCTTTCAGCTGATCACTTTCATTACAGTTATTCAAAGTTATAAACTGAAAACATGATAAAGTTCAAATCGGCTGAAATCGTTCTTCTGTGGTTAACTTACCAGCACTTTGACACGAGACGACTCAGCTACTGAAGCCGTTGTTCTACTTCTACTAACTTTGTTTGTGCTGAAGGATACGTACGAGGTTGTTGGTCACAGTGCACCAACTGGAGGTGGTTTGTGTAAAAATGAGTGTACGCTACTATCTTCTAAAAATATCAAAAGAAAGTCAACTTTAAGCTACTTAGAAAACTATTTGGAAAAACTACAAAATACATAGATAAAGAATATTTCCCCCATTTTTGATAGGATAAAGACAGAAATTAAACATTTACATTGGCTGTGATCAAGCACTGATGAACGGATGTCATGCAAACGGACCAGAACACTACATCATGTAATGCCCGTAGTCACAAACATTACATATCAGCAATACACAAAAATCTGAGTGATGAAAAGTCAGGCGCTGCAAACAAGAGTGTACAATTAGGCATACAGAGGAGTGTCTCTAGGAGTGTGTACTGAGCCTCGAGGACGAGCAACCAGGTTTAGGAACAGACAACGAAGGAGCATATCAAGGCACTGATGCAACATCACTGCATAAACCTAAACGTGCTGCTCAGAAGCAAACGAAACCCTCTTCGCAAAAGCAAGTAGAGCAAAGCCAGCCAGCCAGCAAGAGAGAAGCCGAATGTGCAGAATACGCTGCAGAGAGCTGAAGAGCAAAGAGACGATCATCCTGTCTGAGGCAGACATGGAGCTCATCCAGGAGGTCTTCCAGTCAACTGTCGCTTTGTTCAGTGAGAAAAAAAAAAAAAAGCCTCCATGACTGCCCCAAACCAGGCCAGATTACAGATGTCAGGTAAGAATGACCTGCGATTTTTTTGTAGGAGGACGGCCAAGTTCAGGGAAGATTTTGATGACTGGCAGACAGAGTTCACACATCTTCAGCTCTCCTCCACCCAGAACCTCTGCTTCAAAGAACTGTGTTTCCTGGACAAAAATGACAACGAGAGAAGATGGGCAAAACCTCCTTCCATAAAGAAACGAACGTCTACCGTTCAATTTGCAGCTTTGAACATTAATTCATGACAAAACTGACTTTTTAACTGTTATTCAAGCCAGAATATCTATAACTGTGTTCAGCAGACGATCATATTAATAAAGTGAACTATCAGAGAACACTTGGTCACAAAAAGTGTGGAAGGAGGCACAAAAGCACAGACAAGTGGCGGTTTAGCAAAACAAACGTGTGCTTATGTTACTGACAACACAACCTAATAGATAAACACCTCAGTGCCATCAGAAGAAGAAGAAGCTGCCACTTAAATATTTCTGAACCGACATCTACGGAGGGATTCTGAAACGCTAAAGACGGCGGCTGTGTGACACATGTCCCGCCTCTCCACCCAAACAGTCAGACTGTCTGCTCTGTAACAGCTCTCTCTCGCTCTAGCCAGCATTGTGGTGTTTCCACAGAGGTGCAAGACTTTAGACTGCAGCGAAAAATTAGTCTACGTAGAAGGAAAACGTGACAGGAGCAACAAAAAGGGTTAAAGGCACACGTGACTGCAGATCACTGAGTATTAGGATGCAAAGCGTATCTGAAAATACACTCTCATCCTAATAAAATGCTGCAATACTGTTATTTTAGAAGGCTTAAAGATGAACCTAAAAAAACCCAGCTGAGTCAAGCTGGCCACATTTCTTGCATTAAGCTTGAATGGGGGGGGAGGGGAAAGATGTACAGCCACTGAAACATTCCTCTAAGCAAGCACTCAGTCTCGTATTTGTCTGAGACGCAGTTAATGTTTTTCATTTCAAAACTGTAAAAACGTCCCAGTGGGGCTGCGACAAGACTCGAAACACCTTCACGGCTAAACGGCTGTGAGATCACAGTTGGCAAGCAAGCCAGCAGGTCAGTCAGAAAAACACAGAACATGCCAGGGGTTGAGTCGTGCCGTGTACAGTACCATGAGATGCTCCCCGCAGAAGATGATCCAGAAGGAAAGCAGCATGGAGTAGAAGATGCCCTGCCTGATGTCTCCAAAAAGCAGCATCCAGGTCCAGTTGAAGCCCACAGAGAACCACTCCACTGGGATGTTGATGAAGGTCATGGAGATGCCCAGAGCGAAGATCACCCTGTGAAGGGAAAAAATAAATGTTTAGATAACATTTCACCATCATTACTGTGGGACAGTAGGACGGGCATCACAACCTATTATTCATGCTCAGCAAATCCACTGATATCCATCCATTCATCATCTCTACACCTTAATCCTCACTAGGGTCATGGGGGGCGGAGCCTATCCCAGCTGACTCAGGGTGAAGGCAGGTTCACCTGGACAGGAAGCCAGTCTATCACAGGGCTACACTTAGAGACAGACAACCAAGCACACTCACATTCACACCTACGGACAATTTACAATCACCAATTAACCTCAGCATGTTTCTGGACTGTGGGAGGAAGCCGGAGAACCCGGAGAGAACCCACGCTGCACGGGGAGAACATGGAGACTCCACGCAGGAAGATCCCAGGTGTCCTCACCGGGACGCCAACCGGCGACCTTCTAGCTGCGAGGCGACCGTGTTAACCACCGAGCAGGGCAGTGCATGCAGCATCAGCGGATCACTTAAAGATGCATCAGTTCTCAATCATTTCATTATTTCTAAGTTGACTAGTAGGGCATTTCTTCTTTTGAAAAATCAAAAACAGCTACTTCAGGACGACTATATTGAAAATACAGGCCTCATAGTAGAAACTCAGTACAGAAAAGTGAATGCACCTCTGATGTATTCACAGACTGAAAAACAGACAAGCAATTGCTTCAGACTTGGCACAAAGGTTATCACTGGAGTTACTGTAAAGCTTGTAAAGATAGTATGAAGGACTGTATATAAAGTCAACCTGTATAGATGGTTTCCAACTAAAAAAAAAAAAAAACCCTACAGGCCATGACGTTTAGAGATGACACCATGAATGTCTGTGGATACCAAAACACTGGCTGACAAGATGACTCCCACTCTGTAGAAGTTTGGCAGAAGAAGAGTATTGATGATAACCACTGAAGGCACACGGCAAAAATCACACAAGAAGTAGGAAGTGTGGCAAAGTAGGTTGCCTGACTTGAATCCAACACAACACCTATCCCTTCCAACAAAGAGCAGCTGAGTCTTTAAAGATAACTCTCTGTTATTCATGCTGAGAAGGACTGAATCGGTCATCAGAAACAAAGAGGGATGGTGCGCCCCTTTAGCCCATCTAACTGAGCGGGTGACCCATGAACATGGGCTATAGCTCCCCGTCGTGGGTTCGACTCAAGAGCCTTTGCTACAGGTCCATCCTTCTCCCTCCTTTCCTGTCTATCTCTACTGATCTATGTAAAGGCAAAACATATATTTAAAAATAAATCAATCAATAAATAGGGACACATGACATTTTAACAAAATATAATGAAGGCTGTACTTCTGTTGTATTGAGTTCCTGTTGTGGAACCTGAATTGTTAATATAGTGACTGTAAACTGTTTAATTTCACATCAGAGCAAATATCTAAAACAAAACATTTCTTATCTACTGTACCGATGTGTCATTCTTCTTTAGTTTGTTAGTAATACACTGCAAAGTAATACATTTCTGATTGATGAGGAAACAAGGGGGAAGCTACACAAAATCTGTTAACACCAGGCTTACAAATATGATCCATTCGACTCTTTTGAAACCTAGAAGACAAAGTCAGCTTTTCATTTTCAGTATTTCCAAAACTGCACAATAACAATCTTTCGTAATAGGTTGCACAAGACTTGAATTTCCAGTGGCAGATTTTTTTTTAAACTTGAGCCTGCAGCTGGCTTTTATCCCTCCTCGGCTTCCCAACCAAAACACGGCCCAGATAAAGGGTCTCAAAGAGGTATTTGAGGCTCGAATACGGCGCCTAATGTTCTGTGACTGCAATTCCAATATAAACTCAGTTTGGGACAATTCCAGATTAAGAAAATGATTTGTCCCTATTGGGTCTCTGGCATATCAGCAGCTTATTCTTGTACCTTTCCTGGGTCCTAAAATCTATTTTCTACTGCTTTTCCAACAGTGCTGCCTCTAATTCATGAAGTTAGTTTAATTCATCCTCCTTAGAAAGTCCTACTGCACATTCTTTTTTCCCCACTTAATGTACAAGCTGTTTTTATATTTTTTACGAGAGCACTGTTCACTCTACAGATGAGGTTTAGGATGCATCTTTTACACAGAGGCGATCGATGCAGTAGGCTAAGTCTTTCTCTACAGAAGCAGGCTTATTAGATCTTAAGGACATTATTGATTAGATTATTTGAGCACAGCGTGTCCCCACACAACACCGACCTATACGTTTCTGAAATATTCACCTGCCTTTCTAAACAACCACATCCTTACAGCAAACCTCCCTCAACTATGACATCCAGATATTCAGAAAAAACTACTGCAAGGGTCAGTGAGCTAACGATAATTAGTGCACAGAAAGACTTTGTTGTGACTGCAGCAGGTCCCTCATGCCACCAGCAGATGAAAGGATGATCCTAAATAGACAGCTACGAGGGCGAAACAGAGCGACAGAGATAAAGATGAACCTAAAACATGCCGGTACAAACATTTACTGCAAACACTGTGGGGAACGCGAGTAATGCCATACTGGTTCTAAGCAAATCTACTCCAGACACCTCGGCAGCATTGTTTTGCAGAGTGAACAGAGTGAAACCACATTCGACTGGTATGCAGGGAATGTGTCCTGAGCACCATCAACAAAGACGGGAGAGGAGAGCTGAGATCTGTTAAAGTCTGCGTAAACGTTTGCTATGAATTCTGTAAAGCTGAGGGAGTAGAGGTTCTGCATAGACCCAGTTCACTGAACACTGTGACCTACAATGGTGATGGTGGCACGAATGGAGGCAGCGGCCCCTTCAGGAGACAACGAAAGTGAATGTTTTGTGTCCTGACTATCCCAGACGTTCATTCTGCAAAACTTACAGCCGAGAGGCTTTGCTGAACATCAGGACAGTGAACGCTAAAATTGCCGTTGTGATGTGGACATACTACACCAACATGGAGTCCGATCGGAGACGACGCCGGCAGTTACCCGAGAGAGAAGGAAGCAGTGCGAACATAAACAAAGGAGGAGGAAGAGAGCTGGGATCCATGCTAGGCTAAAGGCTAATCCCTCCAGACCAGCAGGACCGTCCTCCTGCTCTCCCTCCACAACAAGCTGGACGTCTGCTGAGAGAAACCTGCAGAGAGTGGAGGGACTGCTGTTTTCCGGGGCGTTAAAGGAACAACCTCCAGACTGATCAGCAGCTTCATACCACCAGCTGTCACAATGCTGAACTGCTGATCCAGATCTGCAAACACTTCTTTATTTAATTGGTTTTAGTTACTGGAAGAAACGCTCTCTCATCTTGCCTGTACTGCTGTGTATGTACAGCAACATGACAATAAACTTATTATGTCTGCATTTCATTTGAGTGAGATGCATTCCAGAGCAGTTAGGGTCAGTCTGACCTTTTTTGGCAGTTTTATTGTTTCTATTGTCACATGATAAAGATGCAAATAACTCAATTTCTTCATTTTATAAATCATACCATCCTGTGCCAGCTCCCGCTCATATCCGTCCTCAAAGCGTAGAGGTTTACCATTCTGACACCTCTGCGGGCTAGCATGACAGGAGACTCTAGTAAAGCTTTTACAGCATGAAAAAATCATTCACTGTCCACAAATAGGGTACGAGTCGCACTTCCTGAGAGCCTGCTGGTCATATGGGAATAAGAGCCTTGAGCCGGAAAAGACGGAGGGAAGGAGGGAGACTCTGTGTGTGTGTGTGTGTGTCTGTGTGCATGTGGCGTCTTGCTAGCTGGTGTGTTTCTGTCCTAAATGCGTGTGCAGCATGTGTCAGCTGAGTGCTAGCTTGCAAATTTTGTAACGTGTTTCACGCTTCGCCAGGCGCTTCCTGTGGCGCAGAACGCTGCCTCTTACTGATCCGTCTTCCCAGCACAGCGGGGGGCTAGACAAACACTGGGCTCAGAGCAGAGCTTCAACTTTTCACAGCATGGAATTCAAACTATCCGTTTCAGGCACAACAGCCTGTATTTGGGCTCAAATTTGCATAAATTGGTGAAGGAATTAATACAAATATCTGACGTCTTGAGTCTTTTTGCTGAAATAAAAGCAGCAATGAAAAATGGCTTTTGTCAGAAGCAGGTCCTTTTCTTTCATATTAGGTTTCAGATTTGTTTGTGTATCCCACTTTACTGACTGTTCAAAGCTGAGTCCAACCTGCTGATGGTCCCAGATCACGTTCTTCAGACGCTTGATGAGCAGTGCCCTGTGACCTATAGCGCACACACTCAGCATGACCTACTTGTACATGTCATCAAAAGTTAATATGTGCTTTCATCCAGTAGATGCGCTGAAGCAGAGCCACTGACTTGTCCTTCATTACCACTGAACCCTAATCTGAGGAATTATGGAGTCAAAAGTGCTTAAGAAACACCACCGTGACACTGACGAGGAGGTCTTACTTCTCCAGGAGGACAGGAGGTCTGCTCATGAGGGTGATGCGCCTCCAGTACCAGATCATGATGATGAGGATGCTGGGCGTGAGGAACGTCTTCATGGCAAACCACACTTTGGTGAAGCCTCCGTTCTGATGGATGCTCTTGGGGGGGGGGGGGACATGAGTATTGGCATTTTATTGGCAAACACAGATTAACCATAATACCATATCACTCAGCAGACAAACATTTCACCAACAGTGGCATCAGAACAACTTACAACAAGGCGGATGTCTTTGATTTCTCCAATTCCCACATTGACCTTCTTGCGCTCGTTCACAGGTAGGCGGATATTGAGGAGATAGTATTTGTGGGCCACGCTCCCCACCTCCATGAAGGGCAGCAAGTCGCACTCATAGTAGCGGCCCTCGTTCTCATGGGTCTGGACAGAACACAGGAGCACACGGTCACACATTAAAACACAACAAACTGATCATGACGGCTTCCTAAATCGCTGGTCAAATCATTATAGGGACAGCTACAAACTTGTTTAGTCTCAGGCCTCGTTTACATGTAGCAAAAACGGTGATATCTCAACGGGTCTTTGGTTTACACGTGAACGAAGCTACGAGTCACCGAAACCATCAGATCTGAAAGCTCCGGCCACAGTGGAGATCTGGAAAAACTCCGGCTTTACGTCTGCATGTAGACAGGAGGAGGCGGAGTCTGACAGCACAGTGCGTGACTAAAGCGTCACATGTGTGCGACCATGTCTGGCTACGTCCATATACTTGGACTGACATGTTTACAGTCAGTGTGTTCTAGTATTTTCCTTGTTGTGTCTTTAACACCACATGTAGGAGCAGCTCCACTTCTGCGGGCCCAAACAAACCACCCTCAGCCCGTTATCCTTGAAGTAACAGAAAGTTGTTGTGTTTTTTCCAGGATTCTGATTGGCTAGCGTGGCTTTATGCTTCTTGTCACACTGCCCCCTGTAGGTCTGGCAGCTCATAGCAGCTCTTACCGATGTGTTTGTGTAAACGAAGATTTTTTTTTTCAACAATCTGTTATTTTGGAAAACGTAGATCCGTTTTTGTAGATACCGGCTACATGTAAACGTGGCCTTAGTCAGGCTGGAGACAGACTTTTTTTTTTCTCTTGATTTAAAAGTTCAACGACGGGAGCTTTGATGTGAGCGGTCTCCTCCTGAAACACTCCATCCCCGGGGCACAAGGGGGTCACTTCATGGCTTTATAAGGATCCTGTGCTGTGGCCTTCGGAGATACCAGATCACCACCCAGTCGAACGGTGTGTTAAACGGCGCTATCAGCCACCATCACCAAAACACCAAAGCAGGGAATACCTTTTGAAAGAACAATGTTTATCCCTCTGGTGGAGTCGAGTTAGAGAATCAGTATAAAGACACTTGATGTTCGCATTTATTTGACACCTGTCTGTGTGTTTTTAGCAGTCGTTAATAAAAAGCATTTCCCTTTTTTCTAAACGATCCCAAGCTAAATGCCATGAATCAGAGAAGGAAGTTGAGGGGCAGCAGCTTGCTCAGACACGTCTGTAGTGACAGGAGTCGCTTTTGGACAGGAGAGATTACAACCAGTACGCTGAATAAAATAACTTTAGAAAGGTGTGATGGTGAATGTGAGAAAAACAAGTTGACACAAATACCTGCACTGTCATTTAACTTTCTCATACCAGCAGATGGAGATTTATCGCAGGATATGGAAAACAACCTCTAGCAATAGGCTTCGTTTTTTCAGATAGAGAGCAGTAAAGAAGAGCTGAGTTATTAAAGCTACGAAGCAGAGGCAAGCCCAGACGTGACACGACTCCCGCTCTCCATGCCAAGTCAACAGAGAGTCTTTTCCCTACCTTGGCGGCGGTGAAGTTGCAGTTGAGCTTCCTGTGTTCAAAAGAATGAGCCATCTCCGTCCACTCGCTGATGGAGTCGTCTCTGTAGGCCAGGCCGACGTCGATCGTGACCACGGATCCATCCACTGGACACAAGGATTACCACATTAATTCGCATGAATGTAATATTCTTTATAACCCGATTCAAACTTTAGCGGCACCAGAATTAATACATCTTAAGAATAACAAGACGTGTTCTCCGAATAGGTGTAGGAAAAAAATGCACCGTACGATAGATTCGTGCACGTCTGTATTTTGATGTTGCTGCGTCGCTGCACAACCCCGCAGCCTGTTAACATCCTATGATGAGACACAATTAAGTGCTGGTGACAGACAGCAATGGCCTTTTCACTGTAAGACCAGCACCACTAGCACCGACACTCCCCGCTACAGGTTTCATATGCTAACACACTGCACAATGCTCAGAAAGTAACTGAGAGGCAATGACGCACATCCTGCTCGTTTACATCACAGGCGATCTGCATTTGGATCCTATGTGTGGTTTAAGGATCGTTCACTTTATTAAATAAGACCACAGTTTTAAGGGGATGGTTGGTGTATTTTAAAAGTAGTATGTGTTCAAGGTCAGAGAAACAGGATAATCTCTCCATATATAAACATATTCGATGATTCAGTCTGCTCTGTGGTGCAGATCTAGGTTACTGCCTGCTTGACATTAAGTTCAGCGAGACCTTGAGCTGAGCTCCAACAGCCTAGCCCAGTGAACAAAAAGATCCAAAGCCAAGCTATTAAAGCTGCATCTTTAGATCACATTACAAAGCCAAGTGTTCTCTCCTCCAGCCCTCCAAAGTGCCTCTTGTGCCGTTATGAAACAAGCTGGAATGAAGAGAAAGAAACCCAGTGGCCTGTGCTGTAAGAAAGGGAAAAAATAGAGAGAGAGGGAGTGAGGGAGGAAGGGGAGAGGGAACCAGATGAGAGCTGGCAGCCGACTGTCTCCGTAATGCCCTCCCCTCAGCCATTGGTCGAGCCAGACGCCCTAAAATGTCAGCTCGCTTCATGCAAACATTCCACTTCAGTCCAGCGGCCATTGCCACGGAAACTAAGCCTCCTCAACAGCTGTGTTATTGCTGGACGCCGGCCAAGGGGCGCTCAGTGCCGAGGTGGAGCGGGGCAGGTGGGTGGAGTGGTTAATAAGGGCGACGCTCTTCCCTGGGACCAACATAGTTTCACAGATAAGGTAGCCGAGGAAGAGATGTGTTCGTTTGTTGCACAGCCACAGAGCAGAATCTGTCCACCTCTGGCAGGATTTAGGCAGAAAACACGTCATGGTTTCAAGATATGATTGCATCGTTTTACTACGACTGAGCTTATTCATAAATCTGAATCTTTCATGGAAACCCTTCGTATCTTTATGAAATGTGCTGAGGCTTAGCTATCAGCAATTTTAATGAGTAACGAGTGAACAGAGTAAAGTTCTGCTATTTGGCTAAATGAGTACCTGAACGTTCTGCATAATGCTCTTTTAAAAAGGACAGTGGCTCAAACGGTTAGTCAGTAACAGATTCCTTAGACTCACATGAACAACAAAGAAAACTGAGAACTCAACCATAACACGGCTGTTTCTTTAATAATAACTTAAAGGTTATTAATGTATCCCTCGATTTAATTTAGCATCAAACAAACCAATGAGAATCTGGTTAAAAGCGACATGCTGCTGAAATGCTTTAATGTGGAAAAGCTTTTCAAAATAAATGCCATGTGCTCAGAGATGCTAAATCAGGCCGTTTTTAACTAATATTCACACTGTTGTTGCTCGTGTTGCACCTCCACACTTTCAATCTACACTCTTTTGATAATCTGTATAAATGTAAATATCAGTATTCTTTTAAATAATACTACAGTTTTATGGTTCTTATTTAAATTTAACTTTAATTCTTCACTCCACAATAAGTTTTTGCATCTGCTTTGCATGATTAGTTATTTTTATTTGTAGTTACTTCTATTTTTTAGCTATTTTTATCTTGTGCCTTACTTATTGTTGCACCAACCCACCAGAACCAATTCCTGGTATTGTGTAAACTACACCTGGCAATAAATCTCTTTCTGATTCTGGTTCCTGCACAAGCCTTTTAGCTTTTGTGCCCTCCTCTTTTCAGCGTTCCTCGCCTCAGGACAACACAGAAAAGGCGACAATGCAGGAACACTGCATTCTAGGCAGAAAAGGAAAGGAACTTATTCGGTTAAAAAAAATGTCTTGAAATGAGTTTAAAAGTGAAAATCCCCATTCTGCACCACTACAGGCAGCATCTCGAGCTGCTGTTGGCTCCTTATGCATCCACTTGTTCTCACAGCACCTCATGCAGCATAGGAAGACCAAAATGAGTCCGTAGCATCTGGAAAAAAAGGTTTGCCTGTGGTTTAGACTGAATCACGGACTGGTCTGTCAGACAGCCAGGCAGTAAACAACCCACAGACACATTTCTACTGAGGCCAAGCAAAGGGTGCTGATGACTAGACTGCCATTGTAGCGTGACTGTTTGGACAAGCCAGACCAGAAAGGCTGGGTCACATTAAATACCACCACAGACTTTTAGGCTCTTTGTTCTCTACATCATTACCAATACTCCAGCCATCACTTTCCTGTTTATGCAGAATCAGCCTGAGATGGATGTGCATCAAGATTTACCACTCAGTGCAGAAAGACTAGAAGTTGTTGCGACACTCAGACTGACGTTACCACACATAACGGTGCATTCTAATCCTCCAAATCAAAGATGTCATTGAGAGTCTAAACTCCTTCCCCTGGGCTCTACCGGGCTTCCCGTCACTTATTAGACTTTCTCATCATCCTCTCTAATCCCTTCTTTCAGGATCCCGAGCACCCTGCCAAGACACCAAACCCTGTCTTCTTGGCGACACCAGTCTTCTCCCTCCTCCTCCTCCTCCTCCTCCTCCTCCTCCTGCACCTCGGAGGTACTTGTGATGCTGTAGATGGATCTATCCACCGACACATTTCAAACAACGGTGTCGTTTGACACTGGATAAAGGTGCAAAATGGGCGACATTAGCTGCTAGCAGGCTAACAAGAAATTATGTTGGACCTGCAGGCAACAAAAGGCTTACTGTGCGCAAATAGATTTTAAACATGGATTTTTTTTCCCCCCTTTTCCTTCAAAATGGTGCAATTATTGTACTATTTTACCCCACTTCCTTATCACAGGATGATAGCAAGAGCAACAGCTATGAAGCTACTCTGAAGGAAGTCTCACATAATTCATACATGAGGTGTACGGTGGAAAACATTCCTAGTTATCTCAACGGTTTTTGGAACTGTTACCAGCTTGTAACGCGCATGTAATGAAATGTACGCTATTATGAACGGTATTTATTCAGACTACAAGAAAATCTCATATTCCAAGTATGTAATTAATTTGGTTTTGAGTCTCAATAATGGATAACAAGCTCATTTCAGTGGTCAAAGGCTACCGACATAAAACAAACGGGTAATCTCTCTGCTCCCTTTATACCTGTCTGAACTGCGTCTGACAAGCTCATCTATGAAATCCCAAAGGCCCGCGCCGCTATACAGAACAAACAGCAGGACATCCATCATTGTTTGCTGCCTTTCAGCGCAACAGAAATCCAATCTGCTGTGAAAGACACATTCCTGCGATTTCCTCAAGCGTTCGCCTACATAGACTGAAACAAGAATCCAAATTAACACTCGACCGCGACATCCTGCCAGGAAGGTAATGTAAGATTTTAGTCACCAAGTGTTGCTGCACATGAACTGAATTTGTGAGAGATTAGAGGCGACAATGGAAAATATCAATAACCAAGTTAGTGCTACTTGTTCATGACCACACAAATGGCTTTTGGTTCTCAGGAGGTATTCCTAACATCTAGTCACACACGTTGTAAAGCTACGTCCTGGAGGAGAAACATGAGCCACTTGTCCTCGTCGTTGTTTATTTTTTTAGTTCATAATAAAGAGATGATTCTCACCTATCTGGTTGTACACCTTAAATGCAATGTCAAACTGCAGGATGACCAGCATGAACTGGAACCACGGGCTCATCTCCTTGTTGGGCAGAGGAATGTGGACGGCAAACACAATGTTGTTTGCCTCGATCTTCTTCGCCATGGCCTCGTCAAAGGACCGGATCTTTTCACACTGGTTAGGACCCCAAGGCATAAACCACTTTGAGTCTTGTCGGTGCTTGACTGTGTCCACACACTTGGTGGCCATGTAGTGGACCGCTGTGGTGGGGCTGGGAGCTGGTGAGACAAACACAAACCGGGGAAGACGTTAGACTGGGTGTCACAGTGAAATACTGCTGCAGAGTGTTTGAGGGTCCTGCCAAGCTGAATTCCCCCCAAAACTAATAAATCACACAGAAAGTTTGAATAGAAATCAATAAATAAAACACTGTGGATCAAACTGTGCATGGACAATATTAATATCTTAGCATCCATTAGGAACAGTCAACAGGTTGGGAAAGAGCCAAATCAGTCCAAACACTTGAGCAATTACTTTAACACTGTTTAGAGAATGCCTCGTAGCAGGGCTCGCTCTCTCTCTGAAGTGATGGGGAGGGAAATTCCTGAAAGTTCTCAGGCACCAATTATACTGTTTACGTATTGAGATTCATGAGCTTGACAAGACTAGTGTTTGTAGTCTCGACTCACAGGAGTTTAGCAATGCCTGAGCAAAGACCCGCCATTATCAGGGGAACACAAAAAACTTCGGTCTGCCGTTGTGAAACCTAGAGACGTGATGTGAACGACATCCGAGAGGTCTCAGGGTCCAGGTGTAGCCTCGAGACAAACGTCTTCATGCAGAGGAGATGATGTCAGACAATCAGCATGTTAATTTAAAGGCATTCACCAGTATTTCCTGCTAACACGCACAATAGACAACATGGCGTCTTTCTGCAAGTAAATCCATCCTTACTTTAAGAAGCATTCATACCACGCAGCGGTTTTCTTTTCATCGTGTTACAGTCACAATTCACACCAGATTCATTACACTGCAGAGTGTTAGTGCCCTTGCAGTGAGGGTAGCTGAACAAACACCGGTGACACATGCTCGTGAAGAATGCTTCGCTGTGGATCATGTTCTTTTCTAATCCCTCCTCTGAAAGCTTTTATTTATGGAGCACTGAAAACTTTTCATGGATGCTGGTTTTTCCATCACGGGTTTGCACCATGGCTTCTCCTGGCTGCAGTAGTCCACCTCCACTGGACAGTCGATCCCCTTTCCAGCCCTACTAAATCTATCAGATCCAACAGCCGTCACAGCATGCCGTTACCAGATTCATCACGGTCCTATAACAACTGTTCTCCGAAAGAAAATACAGACATAAGCCTTGGTTACCAGTGGTTAAGTCAACGTGGATATCTAACGACAGGCTGTTGTGCAATTAAGGAAATCTCTGTTTTTACAACATATCAGCATTGATCATTTCAAAAAGCTCCACAAGTTCTTAAGAGCAGTTCAGGCAAAGTCAGAAAATATATATTAAAAAAACGCAGATGCTTCCCAGAATTTGACTCCTTACTAAACTGAGCAGGCAGTGAACTGTACGACAGAACCAACTGGCACCTGGGAGTTCTGGAAACCCTTCTGGGTCCAAAGACGGTTCGGTGAGGGGACGAAAACTTATCATCACGACTCAAAGCTCCATCATACACCGTTTGGAAACACAAAAACCCAGATTATTGTGCAAAAAAGTCCATCTAAGAGTCCCAAGGTTCTGTTATTTGGGTTTATGTGATTGATGGTACCGGCACAACAGCTCTGAGAAGCCTTCAAAACAAAGAACCGGCCTCGAAGCAAACTAAACGTCAAAGACTTGAGGACAAACATGCAGATGCTTCCGATTTGTTTGGGCAAATCTGAAAGAAAGAAAAAAAAAAAGAGAGAAATACTCCAGTCCTGAATGTGTCAAGCTGCTGGTGATGCATCTCCATGAGCTGTAATCACTGTCGAGGGTTCTAGCGGGAAGCACTGACTCACGGCAGCGAACATGAAAGGCCTGAGCTTTCAGATGCAGCTCATGAAACAGATTAGTGACATATCTGAGAAGACTCAAAGCTGTAATCACCGTCACGGCTCCTACACGAGCAGGCAGCGACTCGTGAGGGGACTCGAAAAGGTCCATAAACAGCGTATAGGTACAAGTCAGAGAGGTTTGTGTGGAAGGATCCTGTTGTTATCTGAACATCTTATCATATCTGTTCACCCATAACAGAGCGCAAAAGGGCGGTTCACACACCTATAGGTGACAGGCAGTCCACGCCGTCGTAAAACTGGGTCATCTTTAGGGGTGTTGTAAAAACTAAATAAAAACCACACACACAGAGCGACAAAGACGACACATCCAAGTGAATTATCTGGAACCCCTCGGAGTTCAATTATCGAGTGACCCGGCGAGTCCAGCGGCACACCGGCCCTTCCAGCCTCCACCACAGTGTGCCCGGGATAATGGCCATCCCCTCAGCCCGCTGACCCCATGCCGTGTTCCCGGGTTTGTCGGGAAACAAGGGGAGAAAAACCCCTTTCTACTCAATTACCCCCGCCGCCCCCGGCCACCGAGCAAACACAAAGGAATCTGGCTTCATTAAAACCATCTCAGCCAGGAACGAACCAAACAAGCTAATTTATCAGCCATGCAGAGAGCTGAGAAGGGGGCTGCTGGGACGCTGAGGCCCGTGGATGGGTTCCAGACATCCTCCAACATGGACTCAACTTCTATCCACCGAGTGTGGGTGGATTTGAAGAAACTTGACAGCAACTCCAATACAGACCTCAAGGCAAAAAAAAAGGAAATATGCAACTTTCACAGCTGTGTGTGTGTGTGTGTGTGTGTGTGTGTGTGTGTACCACCACTCAATGCAAATGGAAACCAAGAGGGGAAGGAACATGAATGCTGTGCCTGCCAGGCGACAGGGATTTGGGGAGAAATGGGGAGACACATGGGGGTGGTGGGAGGAAGAAGGAGGAAGAAGAAGAAGAAAGGGGGGAGGAAGGAGTGAAATGAAGGTAGAGATGCTGCCTGAGGAGAATGGGGGAGACACATGGAGTGGGAGGAAGAAGAAAGAAGGGAGGAGGAAGGAGTGAAATGAAGGTGGAGATGCTGCCTGGGGCCCCACGCAGCAGACAGACGTTACATACACGGGAGGCGGTGGAGGTATGAGGAGCTTGGAACGGGAGGGGAGAGCATTGGAGTTGGGATCAAAGAAAACACGAGAGTATGTTAGAAAACCAGGACTCAAAGCGGAACCAGGGCGTGTTGTGTTGTTTTTTTCAGCTCCATTAAGGCAGCGGTGGAGACACCTTGATCCGAAGCCGTGATTTAGCGTCGCTAAAGCTCGGCTCGTTCATACACACACACACACACACACACACACACGAATAAAAAGACAGAAAAATACAGCTAAAAGTTGGCGGCCGACGTCTTTTATCCGTAAGCGAACATTTTCTGGATGTGTTCGGCGAAAAAACTCAACTTTTTTTTCTCTTTCTTCTGTTTTAACGGACGTTTAAATCTCAACAGGCGCGCGCGCGTGCAGAGATGTTAGCTAGCAGCAGGGCTTTGATTTTTAATTTTAATTTTTAAAGTGATGAAGAAGAAAAAAAACTTACCAATTAAACCGCCCACCATGAAGGCAAACGCCTGGAACAAAAGCAGAGTAACTCCCACTATCACCAACTTTTTGGTGCTCATGTTCTCGATGATAGCCCCCGCCATGGCGACGGAGTGGAAATGTCACGAAGGAGCGAGAAACTCAGTAAATGTGGAAAAGAAGGAGAAGAAAAGAGAAAAAAAAGAAGAAGGACGAAGAAACGCTGCATCCACGGCAAGTCTGACGGCGAGCTGGGCCCCTCCACCGCTCTGCTCCTGCCTTTCAACTTAGAAGGAGGAGGAAAAAAAAAAAAAAAAAGAAAAGCAGGAATCACATGACCGAGCAGCAGCAGCAGCAGCAGCAGCAGCTTTATCCCCGAGCAGCCAGCAGCAGCCGCCGCATTGCTATGGAGGCTCCGCTAATGCAGGTTACTGTGTCATTGATGCCGCTAATAGCGCCGCCGTTGCGCAGCCTGCTGCGGCTATTTCAGGAGGGTCCGGCTCATGTTTGGGCCTCGGTAGCCGTCAACACATTGTCCTGCTCAGGCTATTCTTAAACCACGTCAGGATTAAGTATGAGTGAGTCTATAACATGGTACTCTGGTGGGTGCAGGATTTTACAGCCTTTTAATCTGATGCCTGGTCTTAATATTAGTTTTCTATCAGAATATAAAGTTGTGCTGGCTTCAAAAATGTTCCTGCAATCTACTTCTT